TAATATCCCTCAATTTCAACATTACTCTATCTAATCTTTTCTGTTCTAAACATGAATAGCTAATAAATAAATAATATGTTTGTAATATCCTGATCTAAGTTTAAACTTGGATTAATTTTAATTTGGTTATTTATTCGCTGAAGAAGTGGCTTATACTAAGTCACAAAACGTCAGAAAATCTAATTTTTCTACTCATTGGGTTATTACAAATGTATTATTTATTTACAACAAACTACTCAATGTTCAATTTATTCGAAATTATCAAATCAAACCTTGGTAATGATACCTACAAACTCATGAATAGATAGTCTTTATGATGAAATGAAACTCTTTATGATTGAATGACAAACTGAAAGAGTATAGGAATAAAGTCAAAAAACAAATGTAAACTAACCCTACTAGAGGTTAATTATTTTTTTCCCCACATATATATACAGAGACTTGTGTAATGTCATGCTCAATCATCAACGGTATATGTGAAGAGAAAAAACGTACAAAATTATATTCCCTAATCTATACAGAATCAAAATACTTAAATAATTGGTAACGCCTAAAAATAACAAGAGGAAAGAATAATGAAAATCATTGTTAACAATAACAATAAAAAAAGAAACCAAAGGGAATATATTAAAAATAAAAAAAGGGATTAAAACAGGTAAATGAATAAATAAATAAGTATCAGAAGGGGGTCTTGTAGATATTATAGTAATTTCAATAGTTGAGATTATGAGTCAATTGAAGCTAGACCACCATGGAAAACCTGGCCGTCCAATACTTTCAGGTTTTTCATAGCGGTCTAGCTTCAATTGGCTCATGATTTCAACTATTGAAAATAAGCAATATATGGTTTTCCGCATTTGCAATTCAATAAATATTGGAAGTATTTAAAAAAAAAGAATAGAAATAGAGAAGGTAAAGACTGATCAACTTCATTACATTTTATGCAAGTGATTTCCGGAAAAAAATTGGCTGAATTGACAGAATTAATCTTTACAAATTATCACCACTGACTGAACAGATGGATTACTGAAGATAGTAATTAATTAATGAATAATTGAATAAATGATTAAATAATTCATGATATTACTGATACACAAAATTTCTAATGACAACTGTTAGCCAACGTCAAAGTCAGAATGTTCAATACGGAGCTGAAACGTGGAGAACTACTACAACCATTATCAATAAGGTAAAAGTATGTATAAACATTTGTCTATGTAGCATAGTAAATTCCATTGACCAGATATCATCAGTAACAGCCTACTGTGGGAGAGAACAAACCAACTTTCAACTAAGGAGGAAATTATGCAAAGATGTTGGAAGTGGATAGGACATACATTCTGGAAATCATCAAACTGCATCGTGAGGCAAGTTCTAACTTGAAATGCTAAAGGGAAACGAAAAAGCGGAAAACCGAAGAGCACATTGCGTCGGGAATTGAAAGTAGGCATGAAAAGGATGAATAGCAACTGGAAATAACTGCGAAGGATTGCCCAGGACAGAGTTCGATGTAGAATGCTGGAGGGCAGCTTGTGCTCCTTCACGAGGAGTAACAGGCGAATTGGATTGGAATTAATTAAAAATAACAAGAAAAGTCACAAAATGTCCAATGATTCTTCACTTTTTTTCAGCATATCAATATGAATATTATCGAAGTCAACTTATGATATTTATGTTATTCAAAAATAATCCTCTAGGTGATGATAGATCCACACATATATCATTTAACTTAAGGATAGAATAAAAGTGACATAATTTGAATAAATAAATAAACCAATTTATGTATGAGATTTATGTTAGCTCTGATTAGCGTATCAATACAACACATTTGCATACCTTTCTCAACATACAACAATTAAGATAATGGAAATTTCGAATGATTGTGTTAGCGGGACATGACCAGATTAAAGCATGCTCGATTCACGATTGCTTTGGTGCACGCTGATTGGGTAATTCTTAACCAATCAGCACTAGTCGATAGTTGGAGAATATTCTAGAATCTTCTCATGTAAAAACTATAAATATACTGACGTTTTCTCTATTGTGCTTCTGACTTCCATCTAACCTTGTTATTTGGAATATAATCTCTTCCTGTTCAACCGTGTTTTGATTTGGGGACTTGTCGAGTGAATCGGTGTCCGAGAATACTAAGCAATAGGAATAGCTGAGTCATAACCGTAAGAAAACCGATTTATAACAGATTGTAAAAGTATGATTATAGTTTGTGATAAACTATTGTGTGACCCAGCCGTAAAATATTGGTAAACATAAAAATAATGTAAGTAATAGATGTCTTGGAAGCATTATCTCTATATAAAGATAATCGAACAGGATGTGAATAAGCACTATGCAAAATAACTGGACTATTTCTCAGACGCCTACGGTTACTTATCTATCCGAAAAGGTGATGTTTGTTACAACAGATTTAGAAGAGAATAACATAGAAGTGCTATAATAATTGAAGCAGTCAACTATAAACTATTAGACTACAGATTTAAACCTTGTTTCATTTACTTCAATTTTGACAACGGCGAAAAAAATACCATCAATTGGTGAATTAAAAGCATCAGGTCTAACAGGTTTACGAAAGTGAATATCTGATAAAGGTTTTTAAAAAGTTACAAAAAAGGGGGTGAAAACTCCAGCTATTTGTCTACCGAATTTTACGTTTCAACCCATGAAAAAGCGTAAGCGCAGACCAGAAACAAGTAGATCCTTATAACCAATCCGAAGAATGACCTCAAAATGGAGATATCAGTAGGATAAATCCCTGAAAATTACGGGCTTGTATCAGAAATAAATCAAAACACAGTGAATGGTCCGTCTTCAACAAAAGAGTGCACTAGTGAGCAAATCAAAATCCTTGAAGATTTTTTGTGTAAATTCTACATAAACTCTGATGTATTCACAACTGTATCTTTGTTGTTCATGCTGATAAAAACACACACACACACTCTCGACGTTTGCTCTGATTGAGAATGAGTTACGTGAAGTATATTCTAACACAAAGAAAGACCGCAGAGAACTCCATTATGTAACAAAAATATGACATTGAAGAGTGTTTATTATTATTATGATTGTTAGAACAAGAAAACACAACACGAAACGAATTACCAAAATCACAAAAAATATGTATAAGAATAAAAACTACAACCACTCGTGAAAGAGTATAGTATAGATAGGAGTCAATCGTAGTCGAGAAAGCGACTTTTCAGATTTTGAATAAAATTCAAATAATACCCATAACAATAGGCAACAATATCTCTTAGATACTATTCAAAATGTTCAAAATCATAATGAAAAATTACCGAAAACCACCATAAAGTAAAAATCATTGTGTTAAACGTATCAAGTGTTTTATTCTATTTCTGTACATTTTATATAACACCTTATCCCTAAATGCTTAATCCTGATTCGTAATAATAAGCTAGTAGCAATATAACTTACAAACAAGATAGTTAGGTAACACCTCTTGGATATTTGAAGTAGATACATTCATCCATTTGAATACAGAGAATTTCCGCATTATAGAAGATGATGTGGTAGCAGCCGTAGCTCTAAAACTCTAATCCCTGAGAATGCAGGTACTCTGAAGAATTTATTTTCGTTCATATATAGGTTCGAGGACAGGGATTACATATCACTGTTTTTCAGTTGAAAGGGAAAGTACTTTGTAGAGGACATAAAAAGATACATTGATTCTGTAAAATTCGCTTACACTTTGTTTTACTGTTGTTTTCTTTGCCATACACCGTCCATTTAGAGACAGTTTTCCACTGAGGTGAAGAAATGACAGAAAGTTCTCCGTGGCTGATTCAGTGTCATTCCTACACTATACTCTTGCCCAATCACCTACATCAAAGTCAGTCAACTACAACGTAGGACCAGGCACATATATGCATCGGTCCAAGTTGCCATACCTCATTAGCACAACAAGATTGCATAAAAGGATATAGTACAGGAAGAAAGAATTCGTTCGTAATTTTAATCGCAAGGATTAAGTGAAGGCGGAGGGTGTATACACCAACGTCACTGATCGATTCTGAGCCATGTAACACAGTCTCCAACCATTGTTTACGATAGTCACGCGAACCCCAACCAAGTAGTATGCATTTACCAACATGGCTCAGATCAGAAGTTAGTGACTTCAAGCACTGATGCCACGTTTTGGTTTGGCCGCCCCTAACTTTCTTCCAACCATCTCCAATACCGGATAGCATTCCAAGTTGTGGTAATCGGTATTCAGACATACGTAACACGTGGCCCAACCATCTCAGTCGATGAAGATTCATAACCTCATCAACTGATTTACCATCATTCCCTAATACCCTGCGTCTAACCTCACTATTACTTACTCGGTGATCCCAGCAGACGCCAGCAATATTTCTAAGACATCTTTGGTCAAATACTAATAGCTTACGAGTGTCTTTTACTCTTAATGGCCATGTTTCGCTGCCGTAAAATAAAACAGAATGGACTGTCGCGCAGTATACTCGTCCTTTTATTGATAGACGGATATCTCACCTTCTCCATAGATGACGTAAGTTGGCAAAAGCCAAACGAACTTTTGGAATCCGTGCTGAGATTTCGTCAGACACCAACCCATTAGGGTTGATCAGACTTCCAAGATAAGTGAAGTTGTCAACGCGTTCGACTACTTCACTCCCTATCCTTAGTTCAGGTGTTAACGCAGACCAGTCCTGAAGCAACAACTTGTATTTAGAGGGAGAGAAGCGCATTGCAAACATTCTGGCATTGTTGCTTAGTGCTACCAGAAGACTCTGTATTTTATCAATGTCTTAACCAAACAGGACGTTATTTCCATTAGTAGGTCCTGTGATGAAGTTAAACAAAAATGGACATAGTGGACAACCTTGCCGGACACTACTTGAGGTTGAAAAATTAGGTAACATTTCGCTATAAGCTCTGACTCAACTAGTAGTGTTCGAGTAAAGAGCCTAAAAACTCAATGTAAACATTAACTAATGTTTAAAACTTACGGTAGAGTAGTTTTATTTTCTATTGCATCAATTCCATCGGTGCCAACATTTGCTGGATTAATAACTATGGTACAACCTTTTGGTGTGGTAGTATGATTATTTGACGAATCTAATGTATTTGAAATAAACGGTTGTGCATATTCACGTGACTGTGAATTGATATTTATGTTTCCACCATCAAATGCATTTTTGCAATCCTAGACAAGTTATTTGTGGAAAAAATTCACGATTATAGGATTATCAAAATAAATCAATTATGAATAGTTAAATCAAGATTAAAATTATTTCTAGAGGATTGGTTAAAATGAATGACTACGAATGATGCGGAGATAATATTTATCCGTTTCTCAATATTCGCGTAATCAAGCATTTTCAAGAATGTATTCGTTCATTTTGTTGGTGAGTGCTGCATATGAGAGTATAATTTTCTCTAAGGATTTCAATTTCTAATTTATTTACCTTTTTCATCTAGGAGGTTGAGATGGGCTTTAGTTGCGTATTCATGGAATATGTACGCGGACAGCTTCAAATGATGGAAATGAAATCTCCAGTGAAAATTGAGTTCATATACACAACGCTGACCCCCATAATGCTATATATTACACTTTCACGGAAAAATTGGAAGGATGGTTATCGTTATACAAATGATACTGATAGGTGACAAAAGTATAGGCATGTCAACTGCGAGGGCTCACATGTCAACTTAAGGTTAAACGGCAAGTAAGAAGTTAAAAACAAGGCAAGCTGTTGGAGGAGTTCAGTCAAACACCTAGTTAATGTCTCAGTCTACATATTTTATTCAGGTTCAAAAAATAATGCCATATGAATACTAAAGATTTGTGTATGTTACAAATCGATTCGGTAATTAAACTTAATGATTTATTCCAGTCTTGTCACGTACATACTGGATGAGATAAACCGTATGATTCGTATATCCTAATTAAATCAGACCTCAGAACAAAATAGATACATTACGAACATCTGAGAGACTCAGAAATGACAATTTCAAAATACTTTGATATAATCAAGAATAACTTTCAGGTGAAGTCACGGGATTGTAAAACTTATATACAAACAAAATGAGATCGATTACACAAATGTCCAAAACAGAAGAGTGTAACAGAGATACGTAATAGATAATGTATTCAAGCACTTCGAAGTAGGTGACCATCCCAATTCATACCTATTTACATTCTTCATGAGTGGTGGCTAGGTGATTAACGCTTCCAACTTTCAACCCCTAAGCGACAAGTTCGAATCCTATCCCATCTACTTCAGTTTGGGTAACCAGGGTTAGTACTACTAGGCATTACAAGTAGAGTATGACTGAAAGGCAAGTACGCCAATATGTACGTGGTAACGAGTTTATAATAACAATAACAATGGTAATGATAATGATAAATAGCACATGTTTTTTTCCGGTGAAACGTATGTTAACATTGTACCTTTGGTCTGGAAGTTAATGGTTTGCGCGAGACGAAATGTCCTCAGATCGAGTCACAGGTGCGGGATTATGGGTGCACATGCCTGACGGGCCCTATACTGGGACGAAACGACTGCCAAGTGCTTCCAGAGTTTTAATGGTGGTCTGACATTGATCGGTTCACGATCTCAATAAAAATCCAACAATCTTCACAACCCGATACCGCTGAGGAAATTTTTCTTTTCAATTAATTCCTCATTAGAGCTTTACACTAACATAGATAGGTTTTACAATTCAGTAAATAAATGGTGATTCGTCGAATTAACAATGTCTTCTATAAAGCATTAATCATTAAGATGTTCAATAAATGTAGAAGATATAACATATTTAAGGATAAGGTTACGTAATCAGTTAACCATAAAACTCGTTGCGCAATTGAATATGAATGTTTTCTGTTATTTGTAAAGTTAACAGTACATAATTAGTAAAACAAGTACAATAGAAATTAGGTAATCAGATTATTAAGTAAGATAGATCACGTAAAATGAAATTATAAATCAAAATTGAGTAGAATTAAAAATTTTCTAAGAAATGTAGTAAGTGAGGTGAAAGTCATGGCTAATTAAGAGGCTGGACAAAATTCTTCTGAACACAAAGATAAAGCTTGTTGATGTGTGTACCTATGACTTTTGACATATGTGAAAGACGAAGTCTGTAAACATGGTGTAAGTTCGATGTCATTCTATAAATAGGTTTAAAAAAACATTTTGTATTGATTGATATCTACTAAATGCACTAAAACAGAGTTTTTTTTAGTGGGGCCCTTCATTTTGACGTCAATTAGATCGGTCGATGTTATCAACGATCTCACCACTTTAATCGCCCGACATCTTACTCCAATTGGATCATATGAATGTTATTGAAAGACATATGTCAGGTATCCTCGTATGTAATAATCGACTTAAACCACGTTAGTGAATAATGGAACTAAATAAGCAAAATACGAGAGTTGATCTTGAATATGTATATTTCATGCACTCATTGATTTGAACAGGCAATCAAGAAGACGAAACAAATAGGGAAGAGCGAAGAAGATTGGGGAAGTGAAGAGAGCGAAACGAAAAGACGCGCAGTTGAAGAGTATGAACCAACTCGATTTAACCAAACGTTAATCGATATTTATAGCCGAACAAAAATAAGTTACAGACATGTGATAGTAAGATAGGAAATGAACACACAAACGCTTACATAAAAACAGTCAAGGTTGATAAGTAAATAATTAACAAGGTCAAAACGTGACTCAAGAAGAATGAATAAATTGGCCTGTCCAGAAGGTAGAATAAGTGATATGCGCTTAACACAGTAACCGACACTACAGTTTCACTGTTCCCTTTTCGAATCAAACAAAAGGTGATATTCAAAAATACAGTGATATAATTGCGTGGTTCTATGGTGCTATTTATAGATCACATCGCTAGCTCGCAGGTTACATCACATTTAACTGCAATTTTAGGACTAAAGTGTTCTTAGATGATGTAGGTGATTATACTTTAGGTTCTATTGTGGACGTATATTTTGTTTGGAATTTTATTGGGTATCCGTTTTTACTTAATGGGCTCCATAGAGAGCATAGTTCTATTAGACCACAAAAAAATAAGACGGAAATCAACAAAGCACATTTCTTGACTTTGATATAGTGTGGAATTGTACGTACACACTGTTGAGAAATGTCAAAGTATGGTGACGTAACTGTCAAGAGTGTATTTTGAGTTCCCAGTAATGTTTTAAATATCAGTTTGTGATAGAACAATAGAAAACAACACCTATTATTGATTTATCGCTAAGTAGTGTATTATGTCTGTGTTTACTCCTTTAGTGCTGATTGAATTCTATCAGTCAAATTATAATATGGTCATCAGTCTAAGTCAATCGACATTGTGTGAAGTATATTGAGAAAGCACGTTAACTACCTAGTATTTTAAAAACAAAATCAATTTAAATTACGTTCACAAAAACTGTTTATCTTTTGGCCGTCAGTATATGCAAATTTTATAACCATTAATCTATAGTATAAAATATGAATAAAATAGCCCACAAAAAGCAGAGAGAAACCAGCCAGAAAGACAACAATTTCAACTACTTATTCACTATTTTGTATTCTATCTTGATTGTTATTGTTAATAAAACCATGATAGATTAGAACAGACAATAAAAACTTTTTATTATTTTAAAGAGTTATCGAAGTAAGAACATCACAATGGTAAAATTAGTAGTTATTTTTGATGTTGAATTCTTTAAGTTAGATAATTTGATGATAGAGCTTTCGTTGTCGTTCAGAACAACATTGCCAGGGCCTACTTTATGAATTTAATAAATTAAACTAGATAAGCTAACAACATTAAAAATATTCGCCTGAGCTGTAAATCTTCTCTACCATTGATAATATTCAATGACAATTTCAAGGAGTGAACTTCACCAGCAATTTATTATACATATATAAGGATGGCTATGACGGTGATAAGGATAAGATATAAAGGTGAGAAAAGTGACTAGGATAATGAGTGTTGATAAGAAGAACGAAAAGAATGACACTGATTAATTTCTATGACGAAACAGACAAGCGTGAACCTACACTGTCGATTACCGTTTTATTGCTGAAATTACTTATACCGATAACAATAGTGGAGTCCTATAGGTTTTGAGTTCAAGAAACTTCTTTCTACGTTTTACTTCCCGATCTCAGTCATTGTTTTTAAACTATCTTCTCCATTAGCTAGTTCACCACTATTCCTAATACCATTATTCCTTGTTTTTTAGATAGATGCCAGGTATGACAACTTGGATCGATACAGATTATTGCCAGATTGTAGATTAATTACGAAGGATCAGGGCTAATAATAATTATAGCTGAGATAAAACACATTTTCCATCATGAAGGGGTGGTCACGCTTACATACCCGTAAAAACCCGACTGAGCTATATTGATTGGAACACTTGTTCCTTTAGGAGAGCGATAAAACTAAGAGCATATGCTTGATATCAGTTGATGGACGCGTACTGCTAACTGTACAGAAATGTCACTGGGTTACAAAATGTTGTCCCCAAAAATAATACACTTTACCTTGGACCCACGGAGTTCTGCTCGTAGTGAGCTCTGAAAAGTATGGAGCTAATGCATCTAAAACTACTCACAAAAACTCATGTATGACTGGTTTCAAATATTTATCTCTTAGGCTCTTAACTCAAACCCAAGTTTGAAAGACCCCTACCATTAATCCGATCTCGTTCCCAGATACCTGTAGAAAAGTATCGTTAAGCAGTACAGGTAGCCGGTCTGAGGGCGAAGTCGTACTGCTGACTGTAGAGGGGTGTGAAAGAAGTAAGGTGTTTCCCTCGTGCAACTAGTATCTGCAGCGATGCTGCCTACCCACAAGGAAGGAAGGGGTTAGAAAAGGTCGACCCTAAGAATGTCACACCTTACCTTACTTCACGGGTTTTCATTTCCGACGGTAAGGCCCTTTGAAGAACGGAGCTAACACCTTAAAAACTTCCCACAAAAAGGCTGAGCGTGGCCGGCCAAAAGCAGTTGTCCCTTGGGCTCTGCGGTCACGCTCCTAGATTAAGACCAACAATAAGCCAACTTCCTACTCAGGTTCCTCAAGAAATACCCTTCCAAGGTGTGGGCAGCCGGGAAGTGACGCCAGCCCTCATACACATAACAACACACGATACCAAGTTGGTTATAATCGAACTCTTCCTACACCTAATAACTGG